CTGGGTGGGCTAAATTGGGATGTCCTGACCATGGGTCAGGTAGGTGATCTTGGTTGCCAATATGACGTTTTTCAGAGCATAGTTCTAGCTGCCCAGACAACTTTTGTTCCGAGTAGGGAAATTAGATCTAACAAAAATGATCCCAAATGGATGAACAATAGATTGAAACATCTCATCGGTCAAAAGAGAGGCATATATAGGCGTATCAAAAGAGGGGATGGGCAGTTAAGAAATCAATGTATTCAATTAAAGAGAGAAATAAAGAAAGGAATAAGAAAAGCAAAAAGGGGTTATAAGGCTAAGGTCACAAGGGATTCAAACATTAACCCAAAAGTGTTCTTTCAGGTATACAGAAGTAAGATTAGGGACAAGATAGGCCCACTTAAGAATAACTCTGGTCAGATCACTGACAGTGATAAGGATATGTGTGACATTCTCAATGCATACTTCCTCTCATAATAGATTATGTAGAACAGGACGATGATAAACTATGCACGATTGCGGTAACTAGTGACATGGTCCTCAGACAAATAAACTAAAACCTAACAAATCCCCAGGCCCTGATGAACTGTTTGCAAGGGTGTTAAAGGAATGTGAAGAGGAACTTAGCATACCTTTGGCTAATCTTTTTAACATATCACTACAAACTGGCATAGTGCCTGATAAGTGGAAAATGGCAAATGTAATACCTATTTACAAGGCAGGTGACAGGTCCTTGGCTTCGAACTATAGACCAGTAAGCCTTACCTCCATAGTGGGAAAATTTATGGAATCAGTAATTGCCAAAGCAATTCGTAGCCATCTTGACAGGCACAGACTGATTAATGAATCTCAACATGGTTTTACAAAGTGGCGTTCCTGTCTTACGAATTTACTAACATTTTTCACTAAGGTGTTTGAGGAGGTAGATCGTGGTAATGAATATGATATTGTGTATATGGACTTCAGTAAGGCTTTCGATAGAGTTCCACATCAGAGGCTATTGAGGAAACTTAAGGCACATGGAATAGGGGGAGAAATTTTTTCCTGGGTAGAGGCATGGCTGACAAATAGGCTGCAGAGAGTTTGCATAAATGGGGAGAAATCAGAATGGAGGCACGTCACAAGCGGTGTTCCTCAGGGGTCAGTGTTGGGCCCGTTGTTGTTCACAATTTACATAAACGACATAGATGAGGAGATAAATAGCGACATAAGCAAATTTGCTGATGACACCAAAATAGGCCGTTCAATTCATTCTAATGAGGACACTAGAGCACTCCAGGATGATTTGAATAGACTGATGCAATGGTCAGAGAAGTGGCAGATGCAGTTTAATATAAAGAAATGCAAAGTTCTAAATGCTGGACAGGAAAATAACCATGCCACATATAAACTAAATAATGTAGATCTTTATACTACTGATTGCGAAAATGATTGAGGAGTGCTGGTTAGCAGTAACCTGAAACCAAGACAACAGTGCAGTAGTGTTCGCAATAAAGGTAACAGAATTCTTGGCTTCTTATCTAGAAGTATAAATAATAGAAGTCCTCAGGTTGTTCTTCAACTCTATATATCCTTGGTTAGGCCTCATTTAGACTATGCTGCTCAGTTCTGGTCACCGTATTACAGAATGGATATAAATGCTCTGGAAAACGTAGAGAGGAGGATGACAAAGATGATCCCATGTATCAGAAATCTTCCCTATGAGGATAGACTGAGGGCCCTGCATATGCACTCTCTCGAAAGGCGTAGAATTAGGGGGGATATGATCGAGGTGTATAAATGGAAAACAGGAATAAATAAAGGGGATGTAACTAGCGTGCTGAAAATTTCCAGCCAAGACAGGACTCGCAGCAATGGTTTCAATTTGGAAAAATTCAGATTCAGGAAGGATATAGGAAAGCGCTGGTTTGGTAATAGAGTTGTGGATGAGTGAAACAAACTCCCGAGTACAGTTATAGAGGCTAAAACGTTGTGTAGTTTTAAAAATAGGTTAGATAAATACATGAGTGGGTGTGGGTGGGTGTGAGTTGGACCTGACTAGCTTGTGCTGCTGCGTCTGGTGCCGTGCTCCTTTCTTGAGTGAAGGTGACCAGACTGGGTGGGTTATTGGGCTAATCCGGGGGGGGGGACATGGATCTGCTCCGCATGGGTCAGTAGGCCTGTTGCAGTGTTCCTTCTTTCTTATATTCTTATGTTCTTATGGGAATCTTTACTGAAGAAACGTTTCGCCACACCGTGGCTTGATCAGTCCAATACAAAGCAGGAAGGTACAATGAGAGGAGGAGTTTGAGGTAATCAGTCCCTCAGCCTGGAATTCTTCAACTCTAGCCATCTCAGCCTGTCCAGGTGTCAGGATTAACCCAGGAAAAACCAACCCATCTGAGAGAGAATCAAGCCACCCTCGTTTCTCTTGGATGTCACATGTCTCCAGTATCCCCTTCCATTCCCTATACTAGTAAATTGATTGTCAGGAAGGATCTTACCAGTCCTGTGGTAATTTTTTGGGTTATTGTGCATTAGGTGTTTCGTTTGCGAGTGGAGAGGGAGCCAGCGAGCCAGCTGAGTGATGCTGCCACTCTCCACTCCTACCCATCACCAACCATTAGCCAGTGCCGCCACGCAACCACTCACAACAAACCAGCCAGTCACCTCATATGTTGCTGTCTCTGCCATCTTTACTTACATTTCCAGCAGACCAGGTCAAATAAATCCATCTTTTAGGCGCCATTGATAGAAATCCTTGGTCTGCAGGCCATCGAGAATGTGCAATATTACTTGAGATTCAGTGACTTGATTCCGTCCACTCCACAAGTAGAGGAGAAAGACTTAGCTCCCACTAACTTCCCAGACGAAGTTATAAGTTTGCATCTGTTGAACAAACGTCGTAGAGCTGTTGCTTCACCAGGTGAAAAAATGGGTTTAACGAACCTACTGTCCAGTCATATTCCACTTGAACTTGGAACTAAACCCATTTATGTACCTGCGTACAGAATACCTCATTCGCAAGTTGCTGTAACAGAAGAATTAGTTAACAAGATGCTTGATGACGGTATCATTGCACATAGTAATTCACCCCTGAATGCGCCCTTGATCCTAGTACCTAAGAAGGACGGTACTTGGCGCCTGGTGATTGACAACTCAGTTGTTTTTGCTACTTGTGTCCTTTCCAAGGCTGAATGTGAAACTAAGACACATATGCAACATCTGGGTATCTTTATTGTATATGTGTCTTAGTTTCATCTTGTCGGTATTGTATACCATTCTTGTAAAAGGCTGAGTGTAATTACGCAGTAACTGAGCAATAAGCGTTAGCAATAGTATGGTCTGTAAAATACTTCCGGGATTTCATATACCAGCACCCTGTTCATGTCTTGACAGATCATGCTCCACTGATTCCCTTCTTTCAGAATAAACATCCAAATGGAAGATTAGCCATATGGTCCTTGGTCATCCAAGAGTTCAATCCAACCTTTGAGCACTTGCCTGGTAAATCAAATGCAGTCGCAGATGCTTTATCTCGTCACATTAGTACAGTAGTAGCAGATCCTCCATTCAGCGCTGAGGATGTAAAAGATGCTCAGAGAACAGATTGTATATGGTCTGGTGTAATACGATTCCTTCAGCAGGAAGATCGAACTCTCTGTGTGAAGCCCGAGACCTTGTTGTGAACCAAGAGTTACTGTATCACATAGCCGATCTGTGTGCTCCTAACAAAACAATACACCAGTTAGTAATTCCAAAGTCACTAGTGAATGTTGCCCTACAGCTAGCTCACAATGTGCCAGGTGTTACACACCCTGGTATGGATCGTTCTGTAAAACAGGCTGCATTAAAATACTTTTGGTCTCATATGGCAACCAACATTTCTGAATATGTTAAGAAATGCAGTGTTTGCGTGCGGCATCTGTATGTAATGGTAGACCATTTCACCAGATACTGTGAGTTAGTTCCTATAATAGATAAGACAGCCAAGACAACAACCTGATTATCAAGTGCAACTAATGTGACATTTTATTGTGGCAACGTTTCGCTCTCCAGGAGCTTTATCAAACCATTAATGGCTTGATAAAGCTCCTGGAGAGCGAAACATTGCCACAATAAAATTTCACATTAGTTGCACTTGTGTCCTTTTACTTTACATATTGTCGGTAATTCTACCAACTTTATTACAACCTGATTATCGTTATTCTCTATGTACACAACAAATAATGAGAAATTTACAAGTTTCAGTTGTCAATATTAATGTTTATCCTCCTGAACCATGGCATGTGTTAAAAAAAAACATACCAATGCCGTCATGTTGACGGCATTGAGGGGACTTGAGCTAGAGTTCGTCACGGCCACGCTAGCTGGAGGTTCGTCTGTAAAAACTTGCATTTGTGATCACAGTGGTGCCTATGCTAACCTTCCTATGGTGTAGAAATATACCTAGTTGGACGATTCTTATTGTGGCTAGCTGGTCCAGTGGCTAACGCGACGGTCTGGAGTTTTGAGACTCTCTGATCGCGGGTTCAATCCCGCCCGTGGTATGGTTTGTTTGCAATCGTGTCATTACGATTTCGTGAGCCATGGCATGTGTTAGCCGTTGCAACAGAATTTGATTTAGCCTACAACCCAAGACCTGAATTAAAAGACAATAAACTGGAGATTCTATGGTTTGAAGTGCTGCTTCTCAGGAACTAGTAGGAACTAGTTGGAGCTAGTTACGGCCCTCCCACCCATGACCAGTTTTTAGAAGACTTTTCGAGAGTCTTGTCCGGACTTGAGAACAATTGCGAGACAATAATACTGGGTGACTTCAATTATTGTTTTCAACAGCAATATAAAGGTTTATGTAAAAGGTATAAGCAAATTCTAGGTTTAAATAGTTATGCTCAACTAATTACTACACCAACCAGGATCACACAGTTCTCAGCCACCCTAACTGACCACATACATTGCAACCGCTCTGAGAATATTGTTCTGATTTGGTTTATTACCGGGAATTAAATAAAAAATAATATATTATCTTTTAGCAGGTATACTGGAAACTCTTCAGGCCAAAGGAAAAGAATGGTGTACCTGCTCTGGAAGATGTGTACTCTCAGTTATTACCAAGCGTGTGCCTATCCTCTCCTGGTTACCAGCTTATAACCTACGAGCGTATCTTCCTGGAGATGTTGTCTCTGGGATGACTGTCGCAATTATGCACGTTACACAAGGTGGGTTTTCTGCTGTGGTGATAAGCTTGACTTAGAGGAAGAATCATAATTTTATTCAGTGTTTAATTCTCTGTCTACGTGTGAAGAATTCTCTTCGCATGACGGTGGTGTTGAACTGAAGGAGAATTATTACTAATCCGGCCCTCTAGGGATTATATTTTTCATCCACAGTGCAGTTGTCTTGTCGTTGATCGCTGTTGACGATATACATATCACACAGATAAGCAAACAAGCACGTAAACACACAGAAACACAGATAACTACCAAACACTAAGACGGTAGAGGGCAACCAAAGGAGGGGTAGCGCTGATGTTCATTTATTACAGGAGTTTTAAAAGAACTAGGAAATCTGTAAATAGGAGAATTCATAGACTGCATAGCAGGAGTTGTAGTACCTGGAGAGACAAAAGAGAAACAGCGATATATAATCCACAAACAACTCAACAGGGCAATGATACACATACTGGAAACAGCAACTAACAGGGGCAAAAATAAATTAAGCTAAACTGCTAATACTAGGAGACTTCAACCATGAGGAAACTGACTGGGAAAACAAGGACCCCTCACAGAGGATCAGAAAAATTAAGAGCAAAATTTATGGACAGAGTTATGAAGAACTTTCTGAGTCAACATGTGAAGGAAACAACAAGAGTGAAGGGAGGAGGTGAACCAGCGAGACTTCATCTAGTTTTCACACAGGATGAATACGACATAGTGGAAATTAATTGTGGGGAATTAATAGGAGCCAGTGATCATGTGATATTAAGTTTTGGCCAGGGCGAAATCTATAGAGCGAAATCATAACACAGATCATTCAAGGCTTTTTATTCATCATAAGTCAGACCGAACTTGGAGTACCCTCACCTGATAATATAAGAACTTAATGGTAGAGGAACACTGCAGCAGGCCTACTGGCCCATGCTAGGCAAGTTATTCTCAAACCCCAAACCCAAACCCACTATAAAGCCAGTTAAGAATCTTGAGAAAGTGTGGAAGTATGTAGCGAGGTTAGCTCCGCAGCTAAGACTAAGGGAGCTAAACCTGACGACATTAGAGGACAGAAGACCCAGGGAAGACTTGATAACAATTCACAGTACAATCAGAGGAATTGATAGGATAGACAGGCAGGGGGAGACAGAATGAAAAGCGAGAAATAGGTACACAAGGGCACAGCTGGAAGTTCATGAGGCCTGGACAAGAACTGGGCTGCAGGGTCACTGATCCCCAGAACACCCTCCAGGTAGACTCCAGGTAATGACACATATGTGTCATTGGGAAGTCAGGAAATATTTCTTTAGCCTCAGGGTGGTCGAGAAGTTGAATGAAAAAGAGGGAGTAAATGGTAGTGTTGGTACCCGGGGACGAAGTTGATATCCTTGGGGTGAAATTTGATTCCAAACTGATTATGAAGAATCACGGTGCAAATCTTGCAAACAAAGCTGCCAGGAAGCTTACAGCACTTCGACGTATGTCGCATCTGGTCGACAGTAGAGATTCAAGATTCTGTACGAGGCATAAGTATGCTCACACCTTGAGTATGCTTCACTTTCTTGGATTGCCTGCCCTCCGTCTCATCTGCGACTTCTTGACAGAATAGAGAACAGAGCAAGACGGTTCATCTCTAGCCTGAATAGATCTATCATTTAAGCAGAGCCTTCAACACAGGAGGGATGTGGGCGGCCTTACTCTTAAGTACAAGGTCAATATTGTCAAAGTACCACACTTGGCTCCACTCTGAGGACAGCGAGAAGTGCTTCAACACAACAAAATGGATAAAAACATGCAGTACACTCTAACTGTACCCTTCTTCAATACATTCTAACTGTACCCTTCTTCAGTACACTCTAACTGTACCCTTCTTCAGTACACTCTAACTGTACCCTTCTTCAGTACACTCTAACTGTACCCTTCTTCAGTACATCACTTCGTCTGAGATCATTTATTTCTAGAATGACTCGAGTCTGGAACGTATGAACATACATGCTCATATTTGTATGTCTCATAAAAATAAAAAGGTTTTCAATTGATCTGATGTAAGTATCAGCTCTTAGCTTGTAAATAAAGTTAGGAATGTTAATCTAATCTTATAAAAACCTATGTAAAAAAGAGAGAGAGACGGGAGGGGGGTTTAGTAATATTCAAGAGAAAAGACTACAGGAAGAGGCCTTGATCCTGTAGATTATTATTATTATTATTATTATTATTATTATTATTATTATTATTATTATTATTATTATTATTATTATTATTATTATTATTGGGTGATATAGTACTTTTATTGAAAGATATTCTGCTTTGAATGCAAATAGATCCAACTCCCAGGATCAAGAGCACTTCAGTGGTATCGAAACAACCACCTCTTAGTTAAAACGAGCCTACTCTACAAATGCCTCAATAATAAATTTACATTGCAACTACATAAAAAACTGAGTTACTAATTGAATGTTATTGTAAACCCATTGCAACAATCACTTGCATGTCTGTGAATGTTTCTCGTGGCATTTCAACATTTCAGGAATTGGGTACGCCCAGTTGGCCAAACTTCCTCCCATTACTGGCATGTACATGGCATTCTTCCCAGTACTTATCTATATATTACTGGGGACTTCAAAGCACAGTTCAATGGGTGAGTTTTTTTTTAAACGTTTTGTTATTCGTTGCTTTGATAAAATGTACTGTTTATACTAATTTTTCTTAAGGCAAAAACACACGAAGCAAAACATTTTACTTGTGGGACGACAGTAAATAAGAGACACAATGATAAGTGAAATGTGTAGGTACCATTGCAGGAATATTTTCCTTTATTAAGCGTAATGTAACTACCAGCAAATTAGAGAGTGTTATAATGTGCTGAGAAAGGTAATATTAAACTGATAAAATAAACAGACATTTTGACCCAGAGCTATGCAAATTATTATTACTAACCAGACAATGTTATGATCTGAGATTCCCAGAGTTCGTCGTGCAGAGGACTCCAAGGTACCGATAGTGCAGCATAGCAAACAGAAAAACCAGATCTTTACATACCAGGCCAAACACAGAACAGATTACATCAGGGCCAGTACTGAAGAACTGGGAATATGGACACCAAAAAGCCATGATAAAACATCAGAACTAAGCACTAAACACACACGAAACCCAAAGATCCCGAGTGTTAAATCATTTGTCAAATTTGTCAATATTCAGGCTATGACTATAAGTAAAATTTATGAAATTAACTATTTAAATATGCTCAGCACAGAAACAAATTCCACGTTTAAGCTTTACGTGAACATATACGAAGGATGTTACCCGCAGAGAAGTATTAAAAAATATTACTATATTTATACAAGTGAGAGAGTAAATAAGTCATACGGATGAATTGTTGTTGTAGATTCTCCGGTATAATCGCCCGACCCGGCCCTTTTCCAAGAGGTGGCCCGGCCATACCTGGAGTTTACCAGGAGAGTGTTACGGGGATCAACGCCCCCGCGGCCCGGTCTGAGACCAGGCCTCATGATGGATCAGGATCTGATCAACCAGGCTGTTACTGCTAGCCGCACGCAAGCTAACGTACGAACCACAGCCTGGTTGGTCAGGTACTGACTTTAGGTGCCTGTCCAGTGCCTTCTTAAAGACAGCCAGGAGTCTATTGGTAATCCCCATTATGTATGCTGGGAGGAATTGGCCTCAATGTGGATGACATATTTTGCTGCACAACAATGCTGAGTTGATCAAACTATACAGTAGAAATGCTATAAAGTGGAGAAAAAGGAATCTAGCATTTATCTTCATATGTATGTCATCGTCAGCAACTGCAGTCGATTTCAGGCAACAGATAAAAAAAACTTTGATGGCTACCATGAAAATCTTCAGAATTCTACATTAAGTTACAGTCATGAGCGCCCTAAACCCTCAACACTGCATGGAAAAGCTGAATAGAGAAGTATACATAGTCTGTATGTGATGTAAATAGAAAATAAGACACTTGTCCAGCATTTGGGAATCTTTATTGTTGAAATTTTTCAGAAGCCAGTGGCTTCCTCAGTCCCATACAGAGAAGAACGGTGGAAGATGAGGAGGAGTTTGAAATAATCAGTCCCTCAGCCTTGGATCAATGTGTTCAGTTCATCAGTCTCAAGATGAATGGACTGAACACATGGACTTCAGGTTGAGGGACTGATTACCTCAAACTCCTCCTCATCTTCCACCGTTCGTCTATGTATTGGACTGAAGAAGCCACTGACTGGCGAAACGTTTCCACAATAAAGATCCCCAAATACTGCACAACAGTCTATATGAAATATGTTCAACTAAAAGAAGTCTAACAAAAGATCCAGTGTGGAAACAGAATGTACAAGAATGTACAACTGAAGAAAGAGGGATATGTTACTTACGAAGGAAAGGTAATCTTAAAGGAGAGGCGGCCGATATGAAGCAGTTACTTGAACATTCGTGGCAGGAGGAAGAAACACAACGGTAACGAAAAAAAGGTAATCCAAGATTTCTTTTAAAATTAGCCCATTACTCACAGGAGGACCAAACAGTGACTACAAAGAAATGAGTAACAAAAGATCAATATAAATCAACAATCAGCAGTCCACATGACGAACGTAGACTGAAGGATACAAATTTCTTCATCACTCCTTCCCACCCTACAAGTTATATGCCAGAGATATAAGCACAAATCCCAAAAAGTTCAGAAAAGATATGTGAAACATGCTCACACATACATCACTTGGATTAGATTTTTCGAGTTCTTGATTTATAATAAAGCAAAAATACACCATTAGAATGAGCACTCATCACACTTGGAAGAAAGAGCTTGGATCAAGGTGCAATATCAGTAGCTTAAGTAAAGGCAAGACACAGTCCCTCTGTACAGAAAAGTAGATTGCTGCCAAAATATTACAAAAAACAGCATCATTAATACCACAAGTTAGGTAAAGTTCGTCAGGAAACAGGACAAGTGTTTCCTGACGAGGGTCTTAGTCAGATGATGACCCGCCGTTGCAGCTTTCGGCCATCTGACTGAGGCCTTCCGCTGGCTTACCCCTTTAAAAATTATGGGCATAGTTATAACCATTTATAAGTTAGTATTAATACCACAAACCACAAGTCTTGTCACGAGTAATGACATGGAAAAATTATGTCTTGCAGAACCCTAACCAAAATTGGTTTAGAGTGACAAGATGGTGGATAGAGGATGAATCACTAAGCAACAGTCATGGAGACTTGAAAAGGAAGTAAAAATGAAGATATGTATGTAGAGTACGTGACTGGAACGAAAACTCTTTAAACAACTGTGGTAATCATCACAAAAAAAATCTTCATTACCTCTTCCTGTCCTACAAATTATGTACCTAACTTACTACTACTGCTATCCACCATCTGCTACTACTGTTATTATTACTACTACTGTTTCTGCTGCTGCTACTATTACTAATACTATTACTAATACTAATTCTACTAATATTGTTACTACTACTACTACTACTACTACTACTGCTGCTATTGCTGCTGCTACTACTACTACTGCTGTACACACAAATACAGTTACACAGATTATCATACATAGCAGCATATGTGTAAAGAACCTGGGATAACCCAAAAAAGTCAGACAACGTGACTTATTTCCATTGGGTCCTTTTACCTTATTGTTATAATATGAAGGAGATAATATCTTATTATTATTCTATAAAGGAGATATACTAGGAATACTACTACTACTACTACTACTAGTACTAGTACTACTAC